AACAGGTGGCCTCGGATGACGCATATTTAAATTCATAGCTTTATGAAAGCAAAATATGTAAAAAAATTGAATACTTTTAATAACTAATAATTTTAGCACGATAACGCACTATCTCGAAAAAGGTCTCGATGTTTATCGCAATAGTTCAATGAAATTATTTTTCTCATGTTCCTTTAGATAAGAAATTAAGAACAGCAAGTAGTATCTTTTTTTTTTAATTGTTTATTTCTTTCTTAGATTTTTAAGATTGCGTGGGTGCCCTTTGACGTAAAATTATCAGTCTTCCTGTGAGCTTTCCCTCTTTTTATTTAAACAGCTGTTTAAAAATAATAAACGATATTTCTGTTTTTATGACTTGCGAACAGAAATGCACGTGTCCTTATTGCAAGCATTTCTAACGCATCTACTGCAACACCCAAGCTAATCGAAACGGTGAAGAAAAATAATATTGAATCGGTGAGTTCTTATAATGTATAATTTTACAATGCAAACAAGAGATCTCTGTATGCTGCATGCATATATTGTAAATTCTTTTTGTTTTTCATTATCAAGTATTTAAAAAATATTCAGTGGTGGATTATGTTGATTAAAATTTGCTTTTTTCTTAGAACAGTTACTTAAGAGTGAAAAATAACTAAAAATGGAAGCATCAAAGATTTAACAAATTATTAAACAAAACATTAATTGCTGAAATACATTCAAGTGAATTTATGCCATTCTAAAAGAAAATTTCCTAATGGGCTACCACTGATATTCTCAAATTTTCTAGTAGATTTTTCAATGCGAAAATTTCTTTATTTATGAGATATTAAAGAGGTTTCTTTGAAAGAATTTGTAAAGAAGAGAAATGGGATATTAAAGAAGGTTAGTTTTATGTTTGTATAAAATGCATTTTTACGCAAAGTACTTACGGTCTGAAACTGTACTTACGGTTTGTAGTTTTTTCATACAGGTAAGCTGATTTTCATACAGGATTTCAGTTTCATTTGCTGGAAATTGGTTGAACAGTTTAAAAATTGTAATTATTTTATAAATTTGATTTATGTAAAAATGCTTCTTATTTCTTTTACGTAGTTTAATTTAAAAATCAGCTTAGGTAATTAAATATCATGTGAGTTTTATTTAACTGTATGTTGGTTACATTTTTTTACTGTAGCAGTCAATGCGTTAAAACGGAAAATTTCGTATTAAAATACAACATTATTACAACATAATACGTACAAAAAGGAGCCATTTCATTTTTTTTGCAAAAAGAAGTATGTCTATGAGTTATTCGAAATGGCTCCGTCCCAGATAGATGGGAAAGAGAGGTTCTAATAACAAAACAGATCCACAGGAACAACTGGATTCTTCAATATGCCAATTTCACCACGTGAAAGGTAACAATAATATAAAATAAATTTATTCATATCATAACTGCTTTCAGTACATGAATTCTATCTTAATTATTTTGAAAACTATATAAGCACCAGCGAGATTTCGGAATAAAAGGTGACAACCAACTTTTCTTCTTACTTTTACCCTTTCGAAAGATTCACGGGACAATAAATCCCAAGATACTTTTTGTAAGCATTAGTGGAGAAGATCAAATCTCGAATGTAACTACTTACGAATGCAATTACTTACGTTTACTCATGTTTACCGCCATTTCTAACCTAACCTAACATTTTACTACATTGTGGTGAACATGTTGTCACTAGTTTTGCATTTATAAATAGTGTTTGCGATTTTATTTTTAACAGTTGGTACTTTTTACGAAAGTAAGTCAAGCATATTGTTATATTATGTAATTACTCACTTATGCTGTTGTCTGATATTCATATATGTTTGCAGGAAAATATATCCTACACTTATAAGTGGAATCTTTTATCCCAGCAGTCTCATGCGAGCTTTTTTTTTTTTTATTTTAGTATGAAATGAAAGAGAAACCCTTAACTTTACGAGATTTTGAGGAAATTGGACAAAGTTTAAAATTATTCGAAGATGAAGCCGACTCTTATCACTGCAGCACTGACGAAGCCATTTTTTCGTTGTTCTTAAAAGTCCTGTAAGATCTAGATATTAAATAAATATTCTTGTTGTCCTTTTCAGTTATACCTGCTAGGATATATAATTCCACTTGAAAGATCTGCTAGGATGATATGTATAGGACTAAAAGTCAAAATAAGTATTGTTTAATTATGAAGACATGTATTTAATTACAGAATGTGATAATAGCAGATAAATCACACGCATATTAGTTTTAAGACAGTAATAAAAATTCTACATTTAAAGGAGTTTAATATTTGTAAAGACGCGTTTTCATGTTTTTTTTTATGAGAGTAGGAGTTTTCAGTAACTCTTTGTTCTTCGTGAAATTTTCAGGCAAATGTATGAAGTATTTTGCATTTAACTTATTAAACTAAAATAAACATTTTGCTAACTAAACACTTGGCTCATGTAAAAAGGCCTAATTTGGAAAGCCACAGAATACTCCTAACTTGTTCAAATTATTCCCACAAAATAAATAACATAACTACTTGAAATTGTTTCCATAAAATTATCTACCTTAATTTGAGAAATTTACATTTCAAATCACGTGTCTAGAACTAGCATTTAAGAGTTGTAAAGGCAATAACTCCGTTTCCAAACATACTGTATATATTATGTAAGTAAGGATTAAAAATAAAACTTGACAAACAACAGAAAAAAGAGATATCGGTTTTATGATGTTACTTACGAAAGCAAACTTTAAAAAAAAAATTTCACTATTTATAGACACTAGCTTTAATACCATATGAGTATTTTTTTTTCCTTTTGATGGCCTTGCACAAAAATTATTTTCACGATTACATCTCTTTACTATAGTGACAAATATTACTTTCATCTATAATAACTGTTATTTTTTGCAGTTCCGTATTGAAATCTACGAGCGAAATACATTTATTGACTCTTTCACTGATATAATCTTTCAGCTTCACATGTTTCATATTATACTTTTGGTGAACATTTTTGACTAGAGAATTCTCTTAACTAGGAACGGATAATTTTATTTGCTTTTCGTATCATAACTGAACCGAACTGCTTGGCAAATCATAACAGCCCATTTCTCTCAATACTATAAAACTACTGAGGTTTGTAGTTTTTCATCATATTGCTAAAATATGTATTTGGATAAAAATAGTATGCAGTATCTTGACCTATTAACTAAAATTGCAGAGTATATAGCCCTTTTACCTGTTAATTCCATTGGATAGAGAGCATTAAATAAATATTCTTTATTTGCGCAAATCATGGGAACGGATACTTTTAACTATAAATCTTACGTGCTGCTAAAAATGTTCTTCTGTGTTCACTTACTTTGGAAATGGAAATGCTTCCAGAACTTGTTTAAAGCAGTACCTTGCATAATTAGAAGCAGAAATGTCCTGAATGTTGGCTCGAACAATTGACTTTACTCACCTTTGGACCTGGACTAAAATATTGACTTCTTCAGAAGGTAATAGTTTACGCGTATTTCCACTGTTGCACTTCAACAGTTTTTCGAATACTGACGTCATATTAGTGTTTCAAGTTCGTTCTAAAACTTCGGTGCCAGTGTTATTAGGCTGCATTTTTTACGTGCCTGAGATATCCTCCGATGATGGTTACTAATTTTGGGTATTTGTTCAGAATATGCACGTAATAATTATTCTATATAAGATGTAAAATATATTTATTTAAACTGAAGAGTAAAAATGACTTTAATGCTGTGTTTGTGTTTCCATTTTCTCCTGTAATTGAAAAATAAAGTTTTAGATTAAAAATAACAGTGATCTTTTGACTAAAGGCTTTAACTAAAATTAGTATAGTTTTACAATAAATTAAATGTATTAAATAGTTTATTGATGCGTTAGTTAACTGAAAAATCAAGAAAGATCCTTTAACTCTGGGGACTTTTAGTTAAATTTTAGACGAGACGTTGAAACCATACTTCATAAATAAAACAGGGTGTTACACATATAAAGGAGGAAAATGCTGTCACCTTAATTTGCAATTTAAATTACATTCCTGCTATCATAAGCAAAATGTTTAATAGAAGAGATATATTTTATTTAGAATATGAATACTCATAGCTTTGTAGAATATTAAATGGTCGCTGAAGTTCAGAAGAGATTTTAATATTGAGGTAAGGGGTTGATCACCTGAAAACGGTACTCATCTTTCTAGAATATTTCATGTAGTTGTAACGTTCGAAATCCATGCAGTTTGCCTATATAGAGAGAGCTTGAGTATTAGATATTCCTTATATCATCATAGCATTTAACTTATTCGAAGAAAGAAAGCTTTTACTTATTTTCCGGATGTATTTTTGCTTGTTTAAATTTTCCTTCTTACGTATGAATATGTGATACCTTTCTCTATGAGCGAACCCATTAAAGCTTAGCTTGAGTATCTCATTATTCCCCACTTGCAATGTTATGTTCTGGGATTTTATTACCTGGGCTTTCCTTTAACTGCTATTTTTCTGTGTGTGTGCAATATAATACATTACCTTTCTTACTCTTTTGACATCACTTGTGTAACATATTACATAAACTTTTTTCACATTTCTGTGTCATATCAATACATTCTACCTCAGTTTGCACAGATTATGTACACACTATTTCTCGCTTTGTTGAAACCAGTGTGTTGAAATCTATTTTTCTTTACATATGTATGTAAGCTAAATGTCAAATACAGAACTTTTAATGATCTGTTGACCTAATGATTGAACATAGTCATAACAAAATCAACTCTGTGATTTGCAGTGAAAAATTCTCTAGCATTCTGTACCAATTAAGTAAAATAGTCCAAGTAACTCAAAAAAGAATGGTTTTAAACAGAATAATTATTATCGAGCCCTTGATGTTACATTTTCAACACAGATAGTTTACTCTCCAGGTTTAATATGTGTTAAGATCATTTTTATTTCAATGACGGGCAAGTAGACATATTTTCATTACAACAAATGACAAGACAACAAAGATACAAGACATTCATTTTAAGTGTTTCGAAATTTTAATAAATAAATAACTACTTACATATCATCAGAATCGTCATGGACTGGTGAAATTCAAACTACTTAAAAAAATACAGACCATTTCAACGTTTCACAATACTGTTTTGTGTATTTTTCGAACAATGTGTATGCTAAATAGAATATTTTGCTGTACACTGGTGAAAACTAGTCTACGAAAAAATTTAAACTGCTATGCTGCAGAGTGGCGTGCAGCAGAACTATGATGGAAATGGTTGAGAAATCTTTAGTAAGGAAAACAAATGTTCGTGCTTCTCAGGCATCATATTTTGTTTACATAAACTTCAAATAGTGAAATAAAAATTTGAGTTAGATTTAAGAGTAGGCGCAAGATTAAGTATAAACTTATTTGAAAGACAAAGGCTTTATAATTCATTCTTTCGTATATAACTCGCTAATCTACGTCCAGTTACGAATAAAATTAAGACGAGCATAATACTCCATCATATCTCATCTTCATCTAATATAACAAATTTCTGGAATGCATGCACCTTTTTATACTAATAAAAAGGGACAGATTTCTGCAAGATGTTATAAAAATATTACTTGCTTCATATCCATTCAGTAACAAACTGAATGAATAGACAACACAACAAATGAGTCAAATATCACGAGTTGTTTACATATATCTCAACAAATTCCTCTCGAAATGCTTAAACACTTTCGGTTTTTACTATCCTCACTGGATAATCATTAAAACATAGTTTGCCATTTGAAAGCCTTAAAACTTTCGAGATCACTAACTAAATAACGAATCATTTAATCACTACTTATTTGCTACCTTTATTACTCTTTGTTTTCTAATTAAAGAAATTGAAGAGACAGTGGCAAACATTTTAAAGAGTGGAATGCTTTCTTTATTTTTGAATTAAATACCATAAGTTGAAATCTTTCTTTCTTAAAGGCGTTTTACAAATGAAAAATAATATTTTTGAAAGTTTCTCATATCTACTGGAAATAAATAATACATAATAATAATAGTCAGTGTCTATGAAAAGATACTGACGATTTTCTACAAAAATATATGGAGCTATATATTTTTATGAAGCAGTATTCAAAATATTTCATTTTTATTTTATATGAAATTATATAATTAAATATTCTTAAATGCATATGTACCTAAATGAGGGTAAAGTTTCCATTAATAACTAAATTTTAATTATCACTCGTGAATAATTACTTATCAAAATTAATATTAAGTTAAAATTAACTTTTCTTTCTGAGTCTGTTACCTTTTACAAAATTCGTGTTTTTGTTTTATAGTATTTCTGTTTTATTTTAAAGTTTATTAATTTAACAACAATATCCAGATAAAAAAATTATCTACGTCACGGAAAAACTGATCCATAATTGGTTAATGCATAAAAATGTAGCGTAAAGATGAAAATATGATTTAAAAATTTTTTGCATACAAGGAAGTTTTATATTAGTTAGACTAGACATAAAATATTAAGTAAACTCTATTGTCATAACAGAAAAACATTCAAATTTGAACAAAAATTAACTAAATTTTGAGTTATTTAAACAATTTTCAAAACTTGTTAATAAATTTATATATATATATATATATGTACAAGTATTAGAACTGAATATAGAATTATTTTAATAACAATTACAAATTCGTTTTTACCAATTTAGATTTCAAGCATGCAACATAAAATCGTAAACATGAAAAATGGATGATTTGTGCTCTCCTGGTAAAATTTTAATCCTGGAACGATATCTCGAAACTCATACTTAATTATAACAATGTAAAGGAAAATGCAAATATATTCCTACGTGATTAGTGTCTTCCTTGAAATTAAACAGAAAATTATATTTTAATTATAATTAATTAGAATTAATACTAGAATAACAATAAATATCTACAGTGAATAATGAATAAATATCTGAAACGTCAGATAAATCAAAAGAATATAAAAGTATTTTATTGCTCAGGATTTTTCTCTTAATGCACATTCTGTTAAAATCTAAAACTAACGCAGAAAGATTATGCTTCTTTTGAAGTATTAACTTTCGTGCTATGCATTCCAACGATTAAAGGTGCATTAAAAAAACTCACTGTTATTCATGGAGGAATCTTTTAAAATGTTATACTCGCGCAATATGAAACGTGGCAGAATTGGAGTAAAAATTAAAATGATGCCTTAAAAGCCAGCTCATGATAAAGATTGCACTTAATAAATCTAAAATATTTCTCAACCTCTTCTATCACAAAATTCCAAAAATTGACAGAATTTTTCACTACAAACTATCTTGCAATCAAAACTATTCAGAGAAATGCAGTAAGCTTAACCATATAAAACATTCACTTCTATTACATTTTCAGTGTTGAAAAACATTTCAATGTGAAAAATCTTTGAAACAATATTTAATTATTTACAAATGATTTAGGATATGATCCTAATACTTCAACATACATCAAGGGAAATCTCGTGGCAAAAGTCATTGACAAATATTGTGATGAGGTAAATGGCATGGATTCAGTATCAGATATGGAATTACTTAACAATTGTTTTAGATATGACAAATAAAGTTATGTGAAACAGGGAATGAAATCACTGAATAATGATGCTAATTCTACATTTTTGGTGCATCTGATTACTAAGACCTCAATCTTTCTTAGAAAGTTGCACATATCTATTGATTAATTTTGAGATTATTTTACTTGTGATTAAGAAAAATAACACATCGCATACAAATAATAGTGAAATCAAAACAATACCATTGCCCTAGTAGAAATTAAAATCACATTTTCTAAGGAAAAGTCAATAATATCACATATATTTTCGTCACAAAAATAACTTGTAGTTTATTCAGCAAAAGCATAACTAACTAATAAGCATCATTATACATACCTACGCAGCCAGCAAAATTGAATGTGTAGTAATTCAACAAATCCGCTGCAAACATGTGAAAGGAAACATTGGAACAAAAAGCTTTGACTTACGCGTAGTATGAAAATTTTACAGCTTTCACTGCTTGAACTACTGTGACAGCACATTTCAAATATGCTTGCGAAAATCATTTCATGTATAACGGTTCCGATCACAATAGATAACATATTTACATCACTTTCATATATGAACAGCAACAGAATGATCACTGGAGTGACATCGCTCCGATTTTCTCTTTCTAATGTCAGGAAGAGCATATCGTAGCTTTTCCCAAAACCTTTTGTCACCCCACCTTAGAAAAGTGCTAGTCTTCAACCACAGTCTCAGTTCTGGGTCTAAATCACGCTGGGCCAGTCGCCCAATAAGGATCACAATAAGTTTGTGTTTATAAGTTCTAAGTACTTCGTGATGTGCTGATTTGAATTCATAGCGGCACCACTCACTGCGGATGAAGTTCTCCGATAGGATGACAATAGTTCTCCGGGAACTCTCCATGGCCTCAATGATGGCATCAGATAAATACCCGCCAATAGGAAGGTCCCTATAATGAAGGCACAGTCGGAAATGGGGATTCCCACATTCTAGCTCTGCAGCAAGGACCTGCCCTACGAAGGCTTCGTCTTTCTTACTATAGGACACGAAGGCATCGAAAAGTTTCTCGTCATCATTGGAGGCTCTTCCTTCCGAGCTGAAAATACGTACACCATACTTGGAGAAAAACCACACGCTCATCCGCTTTCGATATACGAAAGTAAGTATTATTGCTAAAAGCAAAATCACAAAAAGAAAACCGACTAAAATCAACACTGGCATAATATCGTTTACTCGGAATGATTGAATATAACCAGGTGAAGAAGCGGTGAAATTAGTACATGACGTCATGTTGAATTCAACCAAAGGCAGTGTGACTGTATCATTGTACACACAATGCACGCTGTACACATCGTGTACTAAATCACTTCGTGACTGCAGCCAATGTGTGAAATCTCCAACAAACTGGCATTCACAAGCCCATGGGTTATGAGACAGCTGTATATCGACTAGTTTTAAGTTTTGGTTTAAATTCCACACCTGGAATTCTGTAATGTAATTATGATCTAAATGCAATACTTCCAGTGATCGTAACTGTGTGAAAGTTGTGTTGCCAACAACCGTGATTCTATTATATGACAAGTACAATTGCCGTAAGTTCACGAGACGCTCAAATTCATAGCCGTGCAGCATGGCGATGAGATTATGTTGCAAATACAATGTCTGTAATGACTTGAGACCATTGAATGTTCTATTGTTTATCACATGCACATTGCTATTATTCATGAATAAAACGCGCATGTTTTTCCTGCCAATAAACGTGTGGCTTGATAATGATGGAATATCATTTCCATCCAAATATAGTTCTGTTACATCCATTGGTATGCGACGGGGCACAGAAATGTGATTCTGAGAACTACAGTCTACTATATTAGTATTCCAGCTCTGATCGTAGAAACACGTACAATTCTCAGGACACACCATTTCACAGTCACAAGCATCAAACTCGCAGCAGTGGCACAAAGCAAAGCAGTGACTTTTATAACGACAGAGGAACTGAGAGGAATGTGCATGCACGATTGACACAGCTGTTCTTTGGCGATTAAATGATAACTGGCAGGCAATATCTTCTATGTCTACCATCCTCGGATACTGTCGGGATTCATCATGCGAACCAATGCGTTGTATCCATTCCATATTGCAGTCACACAGATAAGGATTTTCAGAAATCGAAAATTCAGGGAGTGGCTTACGGTTTCGAACTTCTGTTAACCTAAAAGCATTTACATCCAAATTTTCTAGCTGATTTCGTGTCAAATCCATTCGTGTAAGGTTTGGTTTACCCATGAATGTAAAAGGATGGATAACTTTTATGCGGTTGTCATTTAAAAAAACTATTTCGATTCCGTTTGGCAATGATGAAGAGTCTATTTCAGTTATATGATTAAATGAAGCATCTAATGTCCTCAGTTTAAGAATAGCTTCCATTTCAAAATAGTTGCCAAGCAATTCTATTTGATTGTCGTGTAAATCAAGCCACTGCAATCCAGCGGGCACTAACGCATAATCGAACCATTCAATTCGATTTGCTGATATGTTTAACATCAGTAAATCGTGCAAATTGCTAAACAAACCATTCACATCAGGGAGAAAGTTAGAATCTAATCTCAGTGCATGAAGATATAATATATCATCAAAAGTGCTCTGTTCTACAGAATGAATTTCATTATTGGCCAAACTCAAAATTCGGAGAGATGGTAAATCTTCAAAAACACCTTTTGTTAAATTCCCTATCTTATTACCACTAAGAACTAAACTATATAAATTTTCTAGGCCTAGATAACTGGCATTATGAATATCCGAAATTTGATTATCGGATAAATCCAAACTACGAAGAAGCTGCAATGACTGGACGGCAGACGGTACTGAAGAGAGTCTGTTCCCCGCCAAATTTATCTCCATCATGGCACTATTGTTTCGAAAGGCATCTGGGTGGACATAGTTAATATCGTTATGACTTAATGACAGCATGTTAAGGACATATAAACCGCTGAAAGTGGTAGGTGTGACTTGCGTTAATCTATTATTATTCAGCAACAACGTATGTAGCTTATAAAGGGAATAAAAAGCATGATCTGATATCACTTCTATCTCGTTGTGGTCCAAATGTAAGACTTGGAGGCTGTACTGACTTCGAAATATACTGGAATCAATTTGAGTGAGACGGTTAAAACTGAGATCCATTGTGACAAGGCGTATCAGATCTGCAAAAGTATCGGATCCGAGCCAATGGCTAGTGATCTCATTATGGCTAAGATCAAGAACAAGAAGTTGTTGCAATCCTGTAAATAAACCAGGAGGTAAAACACTTATAGAATTGTTTTGAAGGTATAATTCATTTAGTTCCTCACATGGCCTAAGTACAAGGGGTGGCAGAGCAACTATTTGATTGCTAGATAAATCTAGAATTCTAAGTTTATCCAAACCATGTAATGCGGATTCTTCTGCTCTTGAAATAGAGTTATGATCTAAGCGCAGCTCTCGAAGTTGATTGACAGCTGCGAAGCCCTTGTTTATTAGCACCTTTATTCTATTGTGTGATAAGCGAACATGCTGCACATCCACTAAACACAACACATTATCACGGTTTCCTGTTGATAGACCTACGCTAGATATGTCAGAAAAGTTATTCAGAGTCAAATTCAAAGTTACTAATCGTCGAAGTGGACATAAAAGTGTCTGGGGTAAAGCATCTACGTTGTTTTCACTTAGATCTAATCTTTCCAGTAACTGCAACTGAGAAAAGGTTTCTGCTGAAAGCTTAAGAGAATAATCTCCATTCTGGACATTCCTTGATCTGACTGTCAAATTCGTTAGTTGAGAAACACCATTGAAAGCCATAGGAGGAATAGTCTGCATATTGCAGTCTTCGATTGCAAGTTCTCGTAAATTTTTCAACAATCCGAAAGTATTATTCACTAAGTTATCAATTTCACCATTAAAATGCAAAGAGGATTTAGGATTATTATTTTCCTTATTTCTATCACATGTTATTCTTAATTCCACAATCTGATCAGGCTGAATAGATGAGAAATTTCGAAATATATCATTCACACTCTGTACCATGCAATTCAGAGAGATTTCATCAGAGCTGCCAGGAATTGCTTTATTTACGCAATAATCATATTCCCTATCGTTCTCACTAAAAGCGTTAATGCACATAGAATAGAAGATGAAAAGAAGAACCGATATGGTTCGCGGTGACATCGGATTTCTACGCATGTCTTTCAGCTGTCAAACAAAATGGGAAGAACACGGTTTGAAATCTTCAAAGGCACTGTCACGCTTTCTAATATTCCATCACGTATCCAGGAATTAAATGAAGGCCGGAGGAATGCAACGGCCGGACTAGAACACTTGCATCACACATGGGTTAGTGGATGGCAAAAGCCAAAGCTCGCTGTGACTCGAATCAGTTTGCATGACTGACTGGTTTTGTGGTGGCTGCTGCAAGTCGTGGTTGACAGCACGTGGAATTTTACTCCGCCCACTGCGGATTTCAACCAATAGCAGACAAGGGGCGAAAAGCCATTCAAGTTGGAAGAGATGCGGGTTCTGGTTGAAGTCGCGGCTTCTTCACTCACAGTTCTTTTTGAAGTTTGGAAGAAAGCTTACTTCCGTCTGCTTGGCTTTCAGTATCCCCAGCACCGGATCGAATCCTATTTGAAGAGAAAAACAGAATGAATAGCGTTATTCGTAGCAGCGCGGCAATTTCGGCGTTCCTATCTTCACGGTTAATTATAACCACCTGGCCTGTGCTATGCTCGCTTAAAAACAGCTACCACCTTTTCGGAATCTTACACAGTATTTACAATCGTAACATCTTGTAATCTTATCACAGGAAAAGCCATAAAAATAGTAGCAAAGACGCTATTGTGAAAGCACTCTTTTAATATTGACCAAATGTATGGAAACAGTTTGACACTAAACGTGATTTATAAGTACAATTGACAAAAATTGTACGAATTTGGATTTTCAAAGATGAAAATTTGTCAAAGAATAAGAGGCAAAAGGAAATCATTTTACACGTAATACTATACGCTATGAGGAATGAACATGACGAACTTTGAAAGTAAACCAGTTAGACTTCATTACAGATTACTGAATGATTTTGTGATTATCTGATTACAGTTTATATATATATATATATATTAAAATCACACCATCACTTATTTTTATTAAGTCATTTTTTATTACTTTGAAAGGTAATTAAAATTCAATTTTGAATGAGATTACTAGAAGTCTTTCCTGCCTTTTCATAAAGGAAAAAATTAAAAATGATTATTATTTAAAGCAATTGATTACTAAATTGTAATAAAAAATTTTTCAACGAGATTTTAAGTTTTAAGCAATGTCTTAAAAATTTTATATAAACTCCTAAACATTCAAGATGTGCAATGTATGAAGAAGTAATATATGGGAATGTAAATCGTGATAGTATTGTGATTATGAGAACACTGAGTCTGCTTTTAAGTTTGGAATATGCGACTGAATATTAAGGCTAAATTTCATTCCTCATTTCAAAGCAAATACACACATATACTTCCTAATGTATATAACATATATTAGAAAATTTCACATTATATTTACTTCGTTTATTTATATATTTACATACTTTTAATACCTATAACTAATACAACTGAGCACAGCACGGTAAGACACAACTGTATTTAGCCTCGGTATCAAAGAATTTATCACTACATATTTCAGAGATATAAAACAAGATTTAACTAATTTTTGGAGATGCAAACCTCTAAAAAACTAATAATTCGGAAATTAAATCTTAGACGGAATATAACCATTGGAAAATATATGAGAGTAAATAAATGTTAACAATTTAACTTTTGCGTATTAAAAATACTTCATTAATATTTTATATATTTTAATTAAGATAAAATAATTTTTTCTACTTTCAGCAGCAAAATTTAATCAATAAAAAGTATTCATTAAAATGTTATGAAACATCATGTAAAAATTTCTTATTCATCAAATTGTATATTGTAAACAAAATAATTCCATCAATATTACAAAACACCTGCTGTAAATATATAGACAAATCATTATCATGCATATAAATTAATAACTCTGCATATAAATTATTTATATTTTTTCTATTTAAAGACAGAGTTTCTTCTTATCTTTAGATAAAAACTGCATACAAATGTCTCTCTATATTTGTTATAGAATAAAAATTTTAAGGATGCTTCATTAAGTTATTGTTAGTATTATTTAATGCATAATTATTTAATACAAATAATTTCAATTTGTTATTGTTTCTACTTTAATTTGTGTTTTAAAAAATTTTCGCTTTTCTGAATATGATTTATCCGCTCTACAGTTCAGTCGATTTCTATGCAACAAAAGGTCTGTTTAGGTTTGTTTTAGTTAATTATGGTAAAGCATACTAACCTAAGATAAGGAATGCCTTCTTGGAGGATTTGCTAAAGGAAATTAGCTCGTGTAAACGTTACACATAGGGAAAACGACGAAAACGCCCATGCAAGCCAACCTGTTCGTCTGGAGTCGAACCCAGGTCGGAATTATCAGTTTCTGCGATTTTTATCGCTGGTGGGCAAAAGTGGTTTATGTTTCAATTAATGCTATCAACTGTAAAGATACCCTCCCCCCCCCCAAAAAAAAAAGATTTTAAACAGAACTTTATTTCTCTTTGGAGGATATAAATATAATGATCTTACGATACAGAAAGTATTTGAAGATAATAGAAAAATAAAGCATCCTATCTATAAATTTCATAAAGCATGTTGTGTACAAATTTCACAAGTGAAATATGTGTTCTGGGCTGAAGACAGTAAATGTTCTCTTTTTAAAACATGATGCAATTTCCTTTTTCCTTTTTTTTTTTTTTTTTTTTTTTTTTAATCTTCATTTTTAGCCCAAGGGCGCTAATAAGACTTAAAATTGATTCATCAACGGAGAGTGCTTAATATTCACCGTTGACCGTGCTTAACATTCACCGTAAGCCCAAAAGGGCTGTTAATTTCGTCTTGGCATTATCGTCGGAAACTTTAAAAGTCTGAATCACTTTTAAAATTGTTACCACCAAATATTATCGCCCCTTTTTAAAGAAATTAAATAATGAAGAATCTGCATAAATGTATGTATATTTCTCACACTGTGATAAAACAACGGTACCTAGAGCCATCAAATTTTGAATGACGTACGTCTCCCACCGGAATATGGGCATCTGGAAGACAAAATTTGGAATTTGTTTTGTTATCTATTTCATAGTTTGTAAAGCATTTATGAGTTTTTAATTAAGAAACTCAAAAATTTCAAAGCGAGCAATGGCAACACAGTACGGGAGGGGAATATCTCCAGTGCGCGATATTGTGTATCGGAAGTTCTAAAGATATGTTCTTTTTAAATTACTCAGCGATATTGCTTTTGAATTGAATTTTATGGTCTAAGTGCGAAGAACAGGATCTTTAATAAATAAAGGTAACACACAAAACGTTAAAAAAATGCTTCTTTGGAAGTAATAAATCTGAGAGATCTATCAGACATTTTTTTTTAAATATTAGATTATCTCTAATCTAGATATTTCATTTTGCTAATGCATTTTTTAAATTAATATTTTAAAAATATTTCTAACTCAGTAGATAAAAGAGTGCATTCATGTATTTAATTAATTATGGCAGATACAGGATTACCCAATTTAGAAGGTGAGTAACGTAGTGTTCTATATATGAACTTCGTACACGTTTTCCTAATAAGAAATAGTATATTTGAGAAGCAGTTTCTAAATGAAACCGACACTAGTGAATATTTACCACATATAAAAGGAAAACAATGAAAACGCCTTTACAACCAGTTCTACATTTGCAGAATGTTAATCACTCCCCGTTGATGAATCACTTTTAAAATTAAATAAAACTCTTATTAAAATATCAAATATTATACTATATGAATACTAATAAAAATTCGAAAGGATTTTCTCTTCGCATTCCTCATCATAAACTGTTTGATATGAATTTAAGATGTGATAACCGCACTTAAATGTGAGATTCTGAAAAAAATTAACATTCTTTCCGTCGAAAGTGGATGAATGTAGTGAGGGAAAAAATACCATACACAAATTCAAATAAATGCTTTAAAAAATGACTCAGGAATTGAAATAATGTTTACACAAGTAGTATTTCTACAGGGGATACGGTCAGGTTTCATTCGAAAATTATTCTTCTAGCTTTTTTGAATTTAATTTCAAGGAACGGAAAACCATTTAATTTTACCTCAAACTATGAGTCTCATTGGGATGAAATTTTTTCCTGCTCTGCAACTCTTCCCATTTATAGAATTACGACCGACAGATAATAAATGGAATCTAAAAGTGGGACGAGTCTGCGGGGAATAGTGATTAGCGTTTCCGTTTAGTTCGTATTTTTTCCAACTTTTTAAAGGGACTAGGTATCACATCATTCCTTATCGTTATAGATATCGATTAATAAAAAATCGCCATATAAAATGTTCGTCGCACGAGTTTCGTTTACTATTCAAGTAATTTTACAGCGCATGTGCATCAACTATTGTACACATAATGATATGGCAAACTAAATATATGTACTTCGTATCATAAATAAGCTGGATACATATATTAGTATAATGTATCCAACGTACTTGAAAACAATAACTACACACTTCCACAATCAAAGATTCCTCATTGCGGATATGTTAAAATAATATATTTGACATTTCTGTTGTCAATACATTAGCCATTATTAGAGTCGCCAATGTATATATATGTCACACCTATAGCAGAGAAGAATGTAAATCTGACGTAATGTAGGTAGTAAAATAACATTGGATTAAATACCTAAATATAACATAAACTGCATGAAATACCATCGCCGACACACGACGCCAAAATCACGAATGTGCAACATGGTTTACCTTGAGACAAAAGTTCCTAATATTTTGACTATATATTAAAAAAATCAAGTTATCGTGTTAATAGTGCCAATGACATGAAAAATACTAAGGATTATCGAACATTAAGACAAGAATTCCGAAATTTCCTCCACTTGCTTCCTTTTCAGGAATGAAATATTTCTAATAACTATTTACTTTATTCGACTCACTACCGAATTTACTGCAATATTTTTATAGAAGGCTTTCAAAAAAGAAACTCCCCCTCCCCCCTTTTTTTGTCATGCTATGATCTCAACGTATTTTTTTTTTTTTTTTTTTTTTTTGATTTTGTTTTAGCTCTTATTTAACCTCAACCATGTTCCAATATAAGAAGGTCAATCTTGACCATTAGTTCAATAGACTTGTTGGTAAAGAAGAAATATCCGTCAATTCTTTTGTCTGTTTCAATCGGAGATTACACGCTGCCGAGTTTCATGGAACAGGTTCCTATTGGCAGGAAATTTTATGCTACGCATAGGACCAATTTAGTCAGCGTCTAAATTATAGATTAAAAAACCATTATTTTCCTACTTGAAATCATTTTATTTTTCAATCGGCTGAATCTCGTTATTGTAAGTTCGTCTTGGGAGATGCATTATGCCAGGAAAGAATCATTCATTCCTCCCGCCTTGTGAATTGTTCACGTGGGAAAGAAGAATGAATTATGTTAGTTACCAGAGGTGAGAGTTTCTATTTCAACGTGCAACACTTTTCATTCCCATTTCTTATCAAA